GGCGGCGGCCCGCGAATAGCTGCGGCGCGGGGCCGCAGTGCCACCTCGCGCAAGGCCCTGTTTTTGATGAGCTTGTCTTTCACCACCACCACCATAAGTTGGAGGGGGAGGGGGTCCTCCTCCTCCTCCTCCTCCTCTTCTTCCTCCTCTTTGTCCTCCTCCTCCTCGTTTTCCACCTCCGCCCCCTCCAACTTATGGTGGTGGTGGTGGAAAAGAGGCCCATCAGTTTTGACCGTCGGTCACGCACGCGGGGCGCTGTGATGTTCCAACCTGCTCTGGCCTTGAGCACCGGAATCTCGGGCCCGTTTTGTGGACCGTCGGCCACGCACGCGGGGCGTCAGGATGTTCCAGCCTGCTCTGGCCTGGATCGCCAGAGTCTAGAAGCACCCGGAGAAAGCAGCACCGAATTGCGAATTGAGAGGGGGAGTTTTCACCCGTCTGGCCCTGGGAGGCGATGCTCGCTCGACCCTGTTTCGATACTATGTGGGTGCTCGAAACTCTTGACGCTTCGCGTAGCCCCGCCAACCCCCTCCAGCCATCCACTTGCCGTTGGGCCGCTGCGTGAGGCCTCAGCCGGCGCGTAGCTGTTGCCTTGCGCGTCGCCTCTGCCTAATTAGTCTCTGCGTAGCCCGCTTGGACCTGACTCGCCGCTGGCGCGCTCGCCCGCGGCCGCTTACGAAAAAGTAACCCCACCGGCCCATGCAGAAACGACGCCCGTGAGAGTTGATTGGGGGGGGGAGAGAGAGAGAGAGAGAGAGAGAGAGAGAGAAAGAGACACGCACAGTCAATCCGCGAGGGAGGCTCGGGAGGCCCCGTGGCCATCTCGAGCCGCCTCGGAGCGCCTTGGGTCAGGAGCGAAACAAGGACGTACATGTACATGAATCCACGCTGGTTTCGAGAGCACGCATTGCACAAATGTTCGTATAACGCGGCGGGTCTCGCGAATCGAGGGGCCGTGTTCATGTACATAGCTGGGCGCGTACGTCCTTTTTGGGCTCCCTATTGGGGCCGCTCGACACCATTTGTGGGATGCTGTCCTCGCGCGCGCTGGGCGCAGCGGGAGCGGCGCGGCGCTCTCGGTGGCGTCTCGGCCTGCCGGTGCCGCCCGCGGGCGGTGCGCCCCTCCCCCGCGGCCTGCGTGCTCGGCCTCGGCCCCCTCCTCCTCCTCCTCCTCTCCTCCCTCCTCTCCCTCCTCCTCTCCTCCTCCTCCCTCCTCCCTCCTCCCTCCCCTCCTCCCTCCCTCCTCCCTCCTCCTCCTCCTCTCCTCCTCCTCCTCCTCCTCCTCCTCCTCCTCCTCCTCCTCCTCCTCCTCCTCCTCTCTGACCTTCCAGGAGGGCTAAGACATAGCACGCGACTTAAAAACCTGTCCCCGAGTTATTCTATATCTTGGTTTTAGGCTGTTTCGTTTCGTTTTTTTTAGGTTTCTAGGCCTCCCGTGCTAGAAAAGTTGCTCTCTGGAAGGTCAGGGCCCCCCTTGTGATTCGGAAGCCGGGCAGGGGCTGCTAAATCCGTGGCTGCTACAAAATCGACCTCCGGGAAGGTGACTTCGTCCTTCCGGGGAGACGCCCGTGGACCGGATCGCGTGCCGCGCCTCATTCCTGGAAGCTGTCTTTTCTCCTTCCGGGAGGGCCGTTTTGGCAGCCAGGGTCTTTCAGAGACCCGAATCATCAGGGGTAACTCGGGTCAGGGCTAATTCGGGTTCGTTTTTCGGGAATCCGAGCCCGAGTTGCCCCGGGCCCGAGGTACCCCTGATAACTTTCAGGAGGGAAAGAAACACACAGACACAATGAATCGGCGATTCCCCAGAACATGTGGGAAAACATTGGAAATTGGGGGGGAAGACAAAAGCCCAGAAAATATAGGAAAATATGGTGCATCTTTTGATTCGTGTGTATTTATTTGTGTGTCCTGGGGCCCCGTCAAACTCGGGCGCCCAAGTTTTGGCAGCCCTCGCCCCGCCTCCGAGGGACAGCGCCCCGGGCCCCGGGGCCGCCGCCGCGCAGCCTCTCCTCTCGGGCCCCCCGTCGGGGGGTCCCGGGGGGCAGCGGTGGCCTCGAGTCGGGCCTGCCCCTCGACAGGAGAAATGCTCAAGCATAGTTTTCGACTGGGGGATCGACTACGGAATTGATTCACCCCAGAATTGATGTTCGCGTCGACTCTTCAACAAAAATACGTCAACCAGTCGAGGACCTGCGAGAGTTCTACGAATTGCTCGGCGATTCGACGAGAGATATCAATTCTGGGGCAGACCAATTCTGTAGTCGATCTCCTACTCGAAGTTTTAAAAACAAAGGTCTGGTGGCGATGGTGCGATGTCTGCGGGACATGTCGGCGGCGAGCGAGGGGGGGAAGTGAGAAGAAGAAGGCCTTCTCAGAAGCTGGCGGGATTCCAAGAGGCCCTCGCGCCTCCCGGGAAGTTATCTGGGAGGCCTGGAACGCTTCTCAGAGGGACGGGGGTCTTCCGAGCCTTCTGAGAAGTCCCGTCCCTCCACACCCCCCC